TGGAACAACCGTTCCTCAAGGTCCTACCATGCCAGACAGGTCGATTGAAGAGCGGTAAGACTAAAAGCAACAAAACCAAGGTCCGAAGGCGAAGTCGTACTGCTGACTGTACAGAGGTGTGACAGCAGTAAGGTGTTTCCTTCAGACAACCAGCATAACAGCGATGCTGCCTTCCCAAAAGGAGTGGAGGGGTTAGAAAATGTCGACCCTAAAAATGCACATCTCGCCTTATCCCACGGATATCCGTCTCCGGCGGTAAGGTCTCAACAAGTACGGAGCTAACACAAAAATCACTCATAAAAAGGTCGTGTGTGACCGACCTCAAGCAGCTGTCCCTTGGGCACTGCGGTCACGCTCTCAGGTCACTATGACCACCTTTAATCCGATTTCCTATTCAGGTACCTCCAGCAGAACCCTTCCACGGTGTGGGCAACCGGGAAGTGATAACCGCCCTCATACCTCTAACAGCACTCAAGACCACTGTATTCATAATCAACCTACCTCTTCAATTCCTATTATTCCTCTTACATCGACTTTCAAATCTAAACTCCCTCTTTCGGCTTCCTCCTCGAGTGTCACCACAGCCAACGATTCTAGTGCGCAAAACACAGTCCCAGGTCTACTGAAACCTCGCTCCAAACTACACATTAGAGCCTTCAACGTACGCACACTATGCTAAATCGGTCAGCAGGCTTCCTTGGCTAAAACCTTAGAATCTCGTACGATTGATGTATGCTGTGTCTCCAAAACACGCATACAGGATCCTAGCGTGGTCATTCACTTGACCTCACCTCGGCAAAACGGAGTGCCGTTGAGTTACACCCTCCGTGTATCTGGCGACCCGATGGCTAGTTCTCGTGGACTGGCAGGTGTAGGCATAGTACTAAGCATGAGGGCGGAACAAGCGCTATTAGAGTGGATCCCCGTAAACAGTCGTCTATGCGCTGTTCGGCTAAACGGCTCCGTAAGAACTCGAAAGGATAGGGACACATTTCGTTGCCTTTTTGTCGTTTCTGCCTACGCTCCCTCTGACTGCAGTTCGGGTGAATTGAAAGATGAATTTTACAGAAAGCTGTCTGAACTTCTTCAGAAAGCTAAACGTTCAGACATAGTACTCGTAGGAGGTGACTTTAATGCCCAGGTAGGTAGCTTAAACGAAACAGAAAGACATTTAGGTGGGTATTTTAGTATTCCGGCACAGAGAACAGATAATGGTGATCGTCTGCTGCAACTTTGCTCAGACAATCGTTTATTTTTAGCAAACACAAATTTTAAGCATAAGGAGAGACATCGTCTAACATGGCGACCCCTTGCACCAAACCAACGATGTACTCAAATAGACCATATTGCCATCAGTCATCGTTGGAGAGGGTCGATAGAAGATTGTCGCTCATTCTGGAGTACCTGCTTGGACTCCGACCATGCCCTAATACGAGCACGCATCTGCTTGCGCCTCACTGGACGCAAAAAAGCCACACAAAAAAGACTCATTAGAACCGAATTGAGTAATGAGAAAACCAAAAGTAGGTTCCAGGAACAACTGAGGTCACACTTAGGTAGTTCTGAAAACGAGGCTGACCCCGATGTTGATTGGAAAGACATACAAGCAGTTGTGGAAACAGCAGTGACATCTACTAGTGATTTAAACCACAGGGTTACAAAGAACCAATGGATTTCTTCAAGGTCTATTGCACTGATGGATTCTCGTAAACTCATCCCATCAGGTTCTGAACACGATGAAGAGCGTAAAGAAATCAGATCTAGGTTAAGCAAAAGTCTAAGGAACGATCGTGAGCAGTGGTGGGCAACGAAAGCAAAAGAGATGGAAAAGGCGGCGGCTATAGGGAACACAAGACAACTCTCATCTGCTCCCAGTTCAGACGTTTAGAACGATGGGCGGAACATTTTAGAGAACAGTTCAGCTGGTCTTCAGCTACTCTACAACTACCCTCTATTCCCAGACAGTGTGAATGGAACATCGAAGTAGGTCCCCCATCTCTAGCTGAAGTTCAAAAGGCTATAGTTAATCTGAAACGAGGAAGGGCAGCTGGTCCAGATGGACTGGCCCCAGAGGTCTTTAAGAATGGTGGTCTAGCTTTAGCGATTAGGTTGACTAATATTTTAGTTAAAATCTGGGAGTTAGACGTTATCCCATCTAACTGGTCACAATCACTTATCGTCCCAATATTTAAGAAAGGGTCAAAATCATCCTGTGACAACCACAGAGGGATTAGTTTAACTAATATAGTATCTAAAATACTAGCCTCGATAATTTTTGGACGCCTAACTAAGACTCGTGAGCTGCAAACACGTGAAAATCAGGCTGGCTTCAGACCTGGTCGCGGCTGCATCGACCACATATTCACCATTCGTCAGGTTCTAGAACACAGGCATACTTATCGGCGTCTGACAATAATGGTCTTCCTTGACTTAAAAGCAGCGTTTGACTCTGTTGACCTAGAGGTTCTGTGGCAGTGTCTTTCATTGAAAGTCGTACCTCAGAAGTACATAAACCTTGTGAAGGCTCTTTACTTGAACACTACTAGTCGAGTCAGAGCTTATGGCGAACTGTTATCTGCTTTTGCAACCTCAAGTGGCGTCCGCCAAGGCTGTCCACTTTTTCCATTTTTGTTCAACTTCATCATAGATCGACTGATGGAAATAACGCTCTCATCGACTGAATTCTCGGGTATTGATCTCCTACCAGGAGGTCCACTTATTGACTTAGAATACGCAGATGACATAGTCCTGTTTGGTGAAGACGCTGATGAAATGCAGAGTCTTTTGGTAGCACTGAGCAACAACGCCAGAATGTTTGGGATGCGCTTCTTTCCCTCTAAATGCAAGTTGTTGCTTCAGGATTGGTCTGCGTCAACACCTGAACTAAGGATAGGGGGTGAAGTAGTCGAACGCGTCGACAACTTCACTTATCTTGGAAGTCTGATCAGCCATAATGGGTTGGTGTCTGACGAAATCCCTACACGGATTCAAAAAGCTCGCTTGGCCTTTGCCAACTTACGTCATCTATGGCGAAGGCGAGATATTCTTCTATCAATTAAGGGACGAGTATACTGCGCCGCGGTTCGTTCCGTTCTACTATACGGCTGCGAAACATGGCCTTTAGGAGTAGAAGATATTCGTAAGTTACTAGTATTTGACCACAGGTGCCTTAGAAATACTGCGGGTATGTGCTGGGAGTGAGGTTAGACGCAGGGTATTAGGGAATGATGGTAAATCAGTTGATGAGGTTATGAATCTTCATCGACTGAGATGGTTGGGCCACGTGCTGCGTATGCCTGAACACCGATTACCACGACGCGCAATGCTAACCGGTGTTAGGGATGATTGGAAGAAAGTTAGGGGCGGCCAAACCAAAACGTGGCATCAGAGCTTGAAGTCACTAACTTCTGGTCTGAGCCATGTTGGTAGATGCAGACTGCCTGGTTGGGGTCCGCGTGACTATCGTAACCAATGGTTGGAGACTCTTTGTGACATGGCTCAGAATCGATCACAATGGCGTCGGTGTATACACTCTCTGTCTTCCTTTAAACTAAGAGATTAAAATCACTTCAAATCTTTCTTTCTAGGAACTAATCCTACCTTCCTGTACTATCTCCTTATACACACTCTTTCTTCTATATATTACCACCACTGAATTAACTACTATGAATCCGGTGTTCATCTTGTTGTGCTAATGCGGTATGGCAACTTGGACCGATGCATATACGTGCCTGGTCCTACGTTGCAGCTGACTGACTGACTATCTCCAATAGAACAAAGAATTACAACAGTCAATCAATATTGGATAGTGGACCAGAACAACGTACAAAGTGGTACGGAGGAGGTACTACTTCTGAAGATGTAAATGCAAAAGTGAACAATATACATGAATAATATTTCTCCCAGTAGATACGGATCCCGGTCATAAACCTGCTAAAGTATAAATTGTAGATTAACAAAATCGAACTTAACTATGTTCCCTTAGTTTCTTGTATGTCTTGCATTCTAATTACAGTTTTTCAAGTATTTTCACTGATATCAGCGAAAAAATCTCCATATAGAATATAAGAACGGGTTTAAAAAGGCTATCGAGGGCATCATAGAAAAACAATAACATAATTGAACATCAGTTATTTCCATACTCATAATAATGCTTGCATGTTCTTATAATCTACCCATTATTCTAAACTATCACCATGACCACCATTATAATGTTTGGAACTTCGAAATTTATGCCAGATATATGGGGCAACTTCTTTTTTACTGAGCTTGAAGAATACAAGTCCTACAGTTGTTTATTATTGTTGAATTCGATATGGTGACCGAGTTCTCCATGAAATACATCAATCAAAGTTATACTAACGAAACCAGGAAAGCGATATGCTATTCGGGACCTTTCTAGAAAGTATGTATACCTAGCATTCGCTTGAATTGTTTTATTTGTTTGGTAGTAGTGTAGCTAAAAAACACCAGTGGGGACAATCGGATGTATTTGACAACAAATTACAGAACTAGTTAGTAAAATCTAATAACCATATAGTAAATCGTTAATTTACAAAATATCAATCCATCACATCAAACTGGACTGTTCCTGTTGCAAACATCAATCGATTGTCTGATATTTCATTGTTCATGCGTTTTCATACAGATTCGATTGCGTTCCCGCTCTTCCTTTCTTGATCTTCCTTCATCTTCTGCTGCCAGACATTACGTTTTTAACTCGCGTTATATACTACTTATATCAATATAAGTAGCGCACACCACAATAGCACAATTTACTAATTAACTACAATTACATGTAATATACTATGTCAGGAAGTCACTTATATCACTTGGCTATTGGAACTTTGACACCTTGAGCGAAGTGTTGGGCCTTTATCGAATAGCTATATGAACGATTTATAACCTCCTTAACTGATATCCACTTAAACTTATAATCACAAATAAAATAGCTCCGTGTGATGAAGGAAAACCTTGTTTTACGGAAAAACAACAGCATCTATAGAAGATAATCCATTGTATAAAAAACACATTTATTTTACAGATCACAGAAGAGGTTATCAAATATATTAAGATGTGACAACAAAAATCTGATAAATTTGTACTTTGGGTATTGAAAAAATGAATACCCTATCATTACTGCTATGTAACAGATTGTTTAATAAGTGCACTTTCTAAGATCTCAGGAGCATCAGGACGTTTGACTGGATCATAATCCAAAAGTTTGAGAACGAACTCAGTCTAAATAAATACAAATGACAAAAATATTGTTTAACAAACTTGGATTAAAATTATTAGGATTAAATAAACTTTGAAAATATGTTTTTTTAAATAATAATTGGAATGTCAGACATTCGAGATTGTGATCATTGCCTTAATGGATTCAAAAAACGAATTAGATATTCTCCGAAATAATCAATAAGGATTTCCAATCTAATCTTGAAATCAGTTTACAAATTTACATATCAATTCAAAATGTTTCATGTGGAAATATGTGCCAGAGAGAGTCGATTTTTATAACCGTAGAATAGAATACGTTAACAAATTAAAAACAGAAATGAAATGTAAAATATTTCTTTCAGTTAAATTTCAAACTTTTTAAAAACGTAAACATAACAAAACTGATCCATAATGAATCATAGACTATCAATAGAATGAGAAAATAGAATCGTATAATATCATTTTCTATTGTGTGAAACTTGAACGGATTATTTTTGTAAATAATTCTCATAAACAGTGGAAATGATCATACATACATGATCATACGTACTGAACTTAGTGAGTAGCTTTATAATTCCAGCTAAAAATTATGCCGACTGCTCAGATTAAGCTGAATGAGTACATTACTTTAACTCAGTGGTCACCAACATACAGGAAAAATTGAACGTGTGTAATAATGATCCGTTAGACAAAGAACCACAGATAAGCTGATTATAATAATACAACAATCTGAAGATAGCTACTGTTATGTATTGACATTAACCATCCTTAAGTTAACTTGATATCTACACAAACCACTCAACCAAACAAATATTAAGGGTCCTATAACAAGTTAGTAGAGTACAGTTAAATCAGTAAGCTTAAAAAAACAAATTAAATAATATTTCAATGCAAGTGTAATAGGATTAGTTTAAGTAAAATATTTATCTAAAAAAGTCACTGACTACATGTATTTATAAAAATCAATTTGATCATTTACAAATATTCATGAATTGTAAGTACTATTATCTTGCCTTAGACAACAAAGCTCTACATACAACATTGAACGTCTCACTTCGAACTCTTTAGTTGATCAAGAGTTAAGAACGTACAAAATGATAAAGTCGAACTCCATACCATAGTATGAGTTATACTAATCGTGAATTGGAATAACATACAAATCCAAATTAAAACATTTAAAGCAAACCAGCACAACTAATCAATATAGAGTTGATAGGACGAGCTAGAATTAGGCCTTGTAGTTGCGAATTCATTCATTGGAGAGTAAAGGGGCTACAAAAATGATATTAACCACTTATTTATAACATTCGATCATGTTTATTTTTTATGTTAATAATTTATGTATAAGCAAGTGAATGTATGGCTAGTGATTTGTATTTTATCTTAAATCAATAATTCGATCTTAAGAGGAGCCACCACTCGAACACATTTATCGATTAGCATGTTTTTTTCTTTTTATTTTGATATTCAAGAAAGTATTGGGGTTGTGGAGATTATTAAGCTTTTGATTGAGATCATGAATCGACTGATGTTAGACCACCGTTGGAAACCTGGAAGCACTGGACGGCCCTGGGTTCGAATCCCGCGAGCGGGATCGTGGATGCGCACTGCTGAGGAGTCCCATACTAGGACGAAACGGCCGTCCAGTGCTTCCAGGTTTCCAACGGTGGTCTAACATCAGTCGATTCATGATCTCAATCAAAATTCAAGAAAGTGTTTGTCAGCCTTAAAAATCTTATTTATTTATTTATTTATTTGAACACATAAATATTGGTACAGGGGGGCACCAAATATATATGCGCCACACAAAACAATGATAATTTGAAGAGAAGGAGAAAAAAAAGTAATGAACGTGGGGAATTAGAAATAAAAAAAGAGAGAGAACAATGATGGGGAAAACGGAAAGGTACAATCATAAGAAATCTTTCAGTTAAGGAAGATACAAACACTTTTTATGAAGAAAGTAAAAGAAGGTTACAGCAGGATCGCCACTGGCTTCTATTCTGAGCCATATCTGATAACGTCTCTAGACACTGTGTTACACCGTCTCTCGGACCCCAACCAGGGAGTCGTGAAGGACCAACAGAAGCTAGCCCTTTGCAGTTTCCTTTGATACCACGACACCATGTCATATACTGACCGCCTCTCCGCTTTGTCCAACCAGTTCCAGAGTCGGCAAATAATGCACGACGTGGAATTCTCTGGGACGACATTCGTAGAACATGTCCAAGCCACCGAAGTCGGTGTTTCAAGATGGTGACACCAATTGCATTATCGTCTCTGTGCCCGAACACACGATGCCGAACCTTTGCATTACTAACATGGTGTTGCCACTGGATGTCAGCAATCCTTCGGAGACAACGATGATCAAACACAGAGAGCCGTCTAACATCCTCAACTCGGAGAGGCCAGGTTTCACAAGCATAGAGCAAAACTGCTGTCACCGACGCGTTGTATATCCGACTTTTTACAGCCAGACTAACATCACGAAGGCGCCAAAGGTGGCCCAGATTGGCATAAGCCACTCTGGCTTTCACTATACGTGCATTGATCTCATCACTCACGCCACCACCAGCACTTATGCAGCTACCTAGATACACGAACTTCTCGACTACTTCAATCTGCTCACGATCCAGAGTGAGTACAGGATTAGAATCCTGCCAGTCAAAAAGTCACCACCATCTTTAAAAAGAGCCGGAGGTAAGTCGTCTGGGCCCGGTGATTTGTAACGTTTCAAGAGTTGGAGTTCCTTGCGGACTTCCGCCTCATTTGGTGGATCAGTCGTCACCGGCCATGGAGGGCAGGACAGTCTGACCGATGTTGCCGGAGCAGCAGGCCAGTTGAACTGCCCTTCAAAGAACTCTGCCCATCGTCCCAGAGCTCGATGGAAGTTAGTGATTGGCGTTCGGTCATCCTCGCAGATTGTTTCGCTCACACCAGACTTCTTGCTGCCAGTGGCTCACTTTGATGGAACTTTCTAATCTAACAGCATATAACCGACTGTTAATGGGGATACAGTCGACCAGTGCGGCCTCAGCTCTAGCGCTTAGTGCGACACCAACGCCAGCAAGACCAGAGGAAGACGCCACAGGGTCCCCGGATAAACGCACGTAAAACAAGCTTTTTGAAGTGACAGATGGAGGGCGAATTTGTAGTACTTCACCAGAGTCTTGAATACGGGTCTCTGATAGACAACAAACGTCAATATTAAGACTTTCCAAAGACATAGCCAGCCCTATCTGTTGTCCGACCAGCATAAGTGTACGAACGTTGAAGGCAGCCAGTTTGAATGGTGTACGTGGTTTCAGAAAAACTGCTTCAGTACTCGTATTCGCTGGTAACATACAATTTTCAACCAGGCAGTGACTCGAGAACGTTTAGATAAAGCTGAATTTTCACCATAGATGAGCTGCTGTCTAGGTCGAAACGGATACATAAAGTAGGAATAAGAGAGGGTGAATAAATGACGTGGTAGAGTAATAATAATAATAATAGTAATAATAATAATAATAATAATAATAATAATAATACGAGTTATTTCAATGTTAATCAGATAGAAAGGAATATTTTCCATAAGCAAATAGTTCATCATCATGGTTTTAGTGCGTGGGCTGAGATACTGCCCGGGTGCCTAAACCGAAGCAGGTGGTTTTCTTAATTTATAGCAAAAATATCTTTAGTGAAACACCTTAACTTTCTGTCAAAAAAAACATTTTTGTCCTGTTTTATGTACAACATTATCAAAACAACATGGTAAGAAATAAACTCACTTCGAATGGATTACAGATCATAAATTCCCTAGGAAGTTTCTGATGTTTTGCTCGAGTTAATGTAAATATTCTTTCCATTGACGTATTAAATATTATCAACAATTCGATAAAGATCAGTCCCAATGAAAAGATATCCACTTTATGATTATATATATCCCCTCGTTCCTGAAAGTTTCAACGATTGAAAATTCAGTTAGATTTACAAAAGTCGTGACAATATTGATTACATAATAACAGAAATACCGAGTATTGTTTGTAGTAAAGCATATTATGGAATTAGACTCCAGCTTATTATAAGTGAGGTACATAACGCCCTAGAGTAATTAAAAGCCCGTTACTGTCATAAACAAGGATTTAATAAATAACCTACTTGTATACTTAACGGCCTACTGAAAAAAACAGATCCTTTGTAATCAAACATAGAAGAATGTTTTAAGCAATTAGTCCCGAGCGATTATCATAATTGCTATAATCAAGAACATGTGTTTGACTGCAGTAAAGAGTCCTTAGCACAAAGTAAGCAGTAGTGAAATAAATTCATTTTCTTTAGTCATTTAACTTATAAAAAATTTAAACAAACATACAAAAACATTTTGAACAGTGGTTAGATAGTATTCATTTTCATCAACCAAAATTGATGATAATATTAGCATCTAGGGGATATCCTAAGCTCAGTGAAACATTTTATTCTCGTTCCTCCATAAAACAGACAATCAAGGAAACATACCAACCACTGTGGTACGTGTGGTATAATGTTGCATTGATGAAGTTATAAATTACAAGGATTCCCTTGGTCGACGGAATTTGATTAAAACAGATAGTCATAGACAAAGTAGACCAAGTGTAATACATTGTACTTAAAGTAAACGAACCCATCGAATATGACATCAACCATGATTGAACATAATCTTACAAATGCCTTGATACAATCGAAAGTGGGGAGAGTCAACTCTCCCTCTCGAAATGCTCTCATATGGCCACGTGCATACAACCACTGCCAGAAAAGTTCTACTCACTGTTTTCTCATGGCAGAGGTGTTATTTACCAAATTTGGTGGATGAAAAGCGAATGTCCGGCGCTTTAACCGGGTTGGTGGATATGGAGGATCCACATAGGGGAGTTGAAAAACCCTGATTCCAAATCAATGGTGCACATGAACTTCAGTATCCCGAGGGAACAGATGGCGTATGAACCAGTCGCTGGTCACCGGCTACCATGGGACTGCATCTCCTTACGCTGCTTACTGCCATGTGGGTCAGACCTTTACGTCGAAGGCTCCAGGTGTGACGCATATGTATTTGGTGCCTCCTTGTGCCAAATAAATAAATAATAATACGTTCTTGTTAAAAAAGCTTAAGAAAGACACCGAAGTAGCTAAGTAATCTGAGAATTTAATGACAAAAATTTTTTTAATTTCATGAAAATTCATCAATATCCAGTTCATCAAACGTCTGCTTGGCTAAAACTATGGAAACTACGAAGTGCAAACGATGGAACCGAGTTAGTTCAAAGGTATGACAGAACACCATTAGTACAATTCAAATAATAGTGTGTGTTTTAACGGAAACGAAACTGAGGATAAAAAACCTCAATAGTATTACATAATAAATCACATTGAAACAATTTGTTATATTTCTGAAGTGCTAGATGAAAGTATCTAAAAGTCAATAAATATGAATAACCAGCGTGAGATTTGTGGAGAATTTTGAGTGACATCACGAACCGACCTAAGTTAGACAACCACTAAAAACCATAAAACAATGGATAACTGTTTCGTTCTACTATACAGCTCATCAACAGTACGCATCCATGAATTGATTGGATCCGAACATGTAGACCATTGTATTACGAGTCAGTGGTCTAAATATTAAGTTCTCACCGTGGATCGGAAAGCTCTAGGCTCGGTCCCTGGTAAGGTCGTGAACATACACTTTCCAGAAGTTTTACACTAAGACCAAATGGTTGTCCGATATTTCCTGGTTTTCAATTGTTCTCAGTCAGTTTGTAGTCTTAATAAAACAGGAATATAGTAACTGGAATTAGTAACTAGTAGTCACCATTTAGAGACTTAATGATTTCAGCAAAAGAATCAAAAATCAGAGGAATGTGCGAGTCGCCAAAACAAATTATGCTTGTACAATAACACAATAACTAATCAAATGATAATGATTTCTAAAACATAATTTAGCTAAAATGTCTTACTTGTTCAGGACTCATGTATAGATCTGTTCCCACGTGATCAGTATGTCTACGTGTCAATACAGAACACTTTTTTTGAGCAGTGCTAATTTCTTTCAAAGGATATAGTTTTCGATCGATGATGGCATTGTTATTATTATGCTCTGATTCACCATTCAAATCATTTACAATAGTAGTCAATGAAGAACATGAAGGCTGCTCCCCTTGTTTATTGCAATTGATATAAGAGCTATCTGATTGATTTAATTTATCATCAACCATAGAAGTAACTAAACCAAAATCTGCAAGTTTAAGACGATTGGTTAAATCAAACAGGATATTTGAAGGTTTCAAATCACGATGCATTAAAGAATGATCATGTAAATAAGCTACAGCTTCAACAATTTGACGAAACATACAGATCAATTCAACTCGTGGTGGACGTGATTCTGGAATACTATGAGAAACAAGCCAATCACGTAAACTTATTGGAGAACATAATTGCATTTGAATGTACAAGTAGCATGTATATTTAGTTTCATTTTTAGATTTATCTTTGATGGATTGTTCTACAAGGCTTGAACCATTTAATGAAAATATTTCAGTACTGTTTTGATGATCAAAAACGATAAGGCTGTCATCCAAACAAGCTTTTGAAAGCTCTCGATAGCTGAAATGAAATCAAAAATAAAACAACTAGAAAATATTTCTAATATAGGAAAACGCTTGAGTCCTATAAACATCAGTCATAATTAAATGAGACTAATAGAGCATAAGATAATTCAAAATTTTTCACAAACTCTGAATATTTCACTTATCCAGCTGAGTAACATTTTGAACAGGCGATACAAAGTTGAGATGAGAGGATTATATTCGTTTAACACTTCGGTAAGAAATTTGGTTGTTAGGTAGGATTTTATAAGTGGGAGAGAGCTGTGCTATTAAAAATGGATAAATAGAATGTCGATTGGTATATGTGATGCAGTGATACATTGTAAACGGGTGAAGATTGTTCCCAAGATTAAAGGATTATTGACGTTAGCCTCCATTTGAACGGATACTAGAAGATAAAACCTCCTCCTTTCTCTTTAACAGAACATTTTTTGTATAGCTTGATTCGTAAGGGTGAATGCCCTTGAAATGTTTTCGTGCTCAAATTTATTACGTTAATGGTCCTCATGAGTTTGTTTGACTCACTGCTTGTAGGTCTTGATCTGGTGCATGTGCCGTAAACTTAGCTGAATATCGTGAAACTTTTTCAAGAAATTCTGACTGTGATATTATGATTGGATTTCAGTAGTCCCCATCGACTTTGTCGCACCACGGCCTGCAACCACTATAATGTTGTATGAAGTGAGATTTTTGTATCTACGATACACTTTTTAAGTTGTATTTGACTTTAAAAGAATAATTTGTGAGTAATGTTCGGGGTTAGATTCATTTAGAAACATAGTTGTGATTATATTGCTGAATGCATAGATAATTCTATTCGTCCACAGTAATTGACATTATGAAAATCGACTTTATTCCATATACATTGTTATCAAGCAGAATTTTATTTTTAAAAGGAAAGGAACTCAATATCCACTTCCTATCACCATAAAATGTTGGACTGGTTGAAATTATCCGGAATTCGAAACACTAGTTCCTTCCTATGTAATTGTAGTTGAGTGAATGTGTTGTTAGAAAACTTTTATCAGTATTGGTTCTCAGCCAACAGAAGAATGTAGATGGTTTCCTAACTAAAATACCAAATATGAACCACGCTTGAAATCGCGAATTCGAGGGTATAAGGCAAACTACACAATGATGATGACCATAGACCGAATTCTGGATTATCTCGATGGTAATATTGTGGTGTGTGCTACTTATATAGATATAGGTAGTATATGACGTTAGTAGTAAACAGAATGTCTGGCAGCAGAAAAACAAGGGGATCGAACAGTACAGAATGGAAACAGAATGAAATTTGTATGAAAATGCGAGAACAATGAAGTCTGAGTAATTTTCAGACAATTGATGGACATTTTGCGAATTAAGCATTTACTATATGATTGTTAGATTTTATTAACAAGTCCTGTAATTTCGTGTCAAATACGTTCGATTGTCCCCACTCTTGTTCTGTTCACTACAATATCACTAACTGCTTACAGAATATCGAATTGCTTAGAGAAGTGGAAATATCGTTCGAGTCTCGGAGTGAACATCAACTCTGATTAGCTGAAAGCTGAAAGAAATTCCTCTTTCACTCTGACAGTAGTTCAATTTCTAAAAAGACACTGTACAACATGTCACTAGTAATATCAAAGTAATATACACAACTACGTAACGTGTAGCGCGACAAAATGATAAAAATTCACAATGAAAAATGATGCAAAATTAATCCCATGTTCTTTGATGGTGAATATTTAACAGATCGACTCAATATGTCTAATAATCGCATGCACTCTTTCACTATGAACTACTTACTTACGCAGGTCTGTCAGTTATTAGATGTACGAAAAGTAAATAAATGAGTACGAATAGCTGAAGTGTTAAGTTAAAAAGACAGAATAAATTTTAATAATCACAAACACCAAATAAGATCAACAGTGTTTCTGTGTAACTAATTTTAGTTTGTGACCAGTGACATTACTACTTGCTAATTACTAACTCAAGGAAAGAAACTATTATTCTTATATACTATATGGGAAAATCCCCAGTCACTAAGTACCAGTTTACTAACTGTAATCCTCAACCACGATCGACTTGTGATACACTGATATCTAGCATGATGTGACGTAAGTCATTTTATATGGAACACTCGATCAACTCATAAATGTTTAAATTCCTGCTAGAAACCGAAATGGGGGATTCTTATGCTACAGAGGATAATAAAAATCAATAGTTCATTTTAAGTTGATTATTCCAAGTTTATTAACAAATAAAAATCCAGTCAAAGTAATTCTAAACCTAGAGTTAACGAACCTAATTTAAATTTTAAAAAATGACGCACCTGGAGTGATGAGACTCATTTAATCCTATTGAGCTCTTATCTACGCAGAGCGATACATTCGAATGGCGCGAATTGATATTTGACGAGAAGAGAGTATTTGATGGATAATTCTCATTGTTCCCACAATCTGTACAGTCACTGTTTCTGGAAGTTAAGTCGTCAGATAAACCGAGTACTAATTCATCATGTGACTCTTGCCAGCCAGCAGGAGGATATTCCTTCCAAGCACGATGGTAGCGGACAATGCCTGGATGGTCAAGTGTAGCTAAGGCTGAGGGAAGAATCACAAAATAAAAAAGGTGTCGCATGGAATTGTGTACAAAATCTTTTTTTTAATACTAAAGAACTAATTCCATTATCGATCTATGAATGTACTAGAAATAGAACTTCAGAAAACCCACAGGTGAATTAACTAAACCAAAATACATGTATAAACAAAAAGAATAAATAGAATATTTCTAGCCTTAATAATGCTAGCAATAATATGAATGTAGATCACAATAATATAAAGAGATACATGTTACTGCTACTATTTTGGGGACAGAGAGATAAAGATTAAAACTGAATCGAAAAATACATAGGTAACTACTAAAAGCTAAGCCAAATTCGTTCACACTATAATTTAAAGTAATTAATACAACAGAAGGAATTAGAAATTTGGTAACGTTCGATAATATATACGAGATAATACAGCCAGTAGGATCAATAAGACTTGACTTAAATGATCGCTAGATACGTAACTAAGACACTCGATATACGACCAATAATTAAGCATCGAATATGGGCCAGACAATAGTTATTAACAGAAGTACAAGTGGATCACACAGAGTAAGTTTAGGGTAGAAATCATCAGTGGACGACATTTGCAATATTATATAATCCTACATATTTAACATAGTCGGATGGGCCTTGCTTTGCTCAGTCGTTGAGTACTCTTAAAGGTATGAAGGCGGTTACCACTTTCCGGTCACCCATACCGTGGAAGGGTTCTTCTACAGGTACCTGGAAAAGAAATCGGGTTAGAGTTGGTCTTAGTGATCTGAGAGAGTGACCGCAGGCCGGCAACACAATGCGTTAGCTCAGTACTTTTTGAGATCTTGCCAACGGAGACGACATCCGTGGGATAAGGCGAGGTGTGTATTTTTAGGGTGAACCTTTTCTAACTCCACTCTTCCTTGTGGGAAGGCAGCATTGCAGTTACGGTGGTTGTATGAGGGAAACACCTTACTGCCGTCATAACTCTGTACAATCAGCAGTATAACTTCGCCCTCTGACCTTAGGTTTGCTGTTTTTAGTCTTACCGTTCTTCAACCAACCTGCCTGGTATGGTAGGACCTTGAGGAACGATTGTTCCAACCAGTATAGCCCGAGTGATTCATCACGACAGGCAAGCCCAACCACCGTGTCAAGGTAGCGGCAACGGTCGGGAGCTCATTCACTAATCATGTCTTACCATTACCAGTATATCGGTAATCAATCAGGCTTCAATTCACTTTTTGATCTTGATTAAACTACCCATGTCGCATAATCATAGTTACACAAATATGAAAAGCTGAAAATAATGAAAAAGATAGTGTCCTTCCATAAAACATCCGTAGATTATGAATGATACAAAAAGCAACGGTATATATATATATATACCTCAGATTTAAAACTGTTGGAAGCTAGTTGGTTGTTAAGTCATTTCTATAAACTGGTTGGATGTTGAACAGATAATATAAAGGTTATTCGATCAAATATCTATTTTCATATGAAATGACTAGCAAAATTTGTATAATCAAAGTCAGTGAGTCACTATATCATTCCGATTTCGTCGACATTAAACAGGATAAGTTTATAAATATGCAACAACCTTTTATGATCTCAAATTCACATAGTGTTTGCTATCGCGGTGAAGAAAGTTATGCAATTTAAAATTATTAATATTGCTATTTCATACATACCTTTTACTTCTCGTAGAAATATATTTTTATCATCGTCGGTATCATTCATTTTAATACGTTTGATAGCATAACGACAACCATCAAGACGATTTTCAACTTCAAACACTTGACCGAAACCACCACGTCCAAGTCGACGTATATACTTGAAATCTGTTTCAAATGATGAAATAAAACTAGGTGGTTGCATATTGGCAGTAGTAAGCAGAGACTGACATGAAGGATTTGATGTTAAATTATTCGGAGTCGAACATGATGGACATTTTGGTGTATCACACAAATCTCCCGATGAACTATGTGTTTTGACAACAACTGATTCCAAATTACATGGCTCAGACTGAAAGGAATAGTTTTTCAACCTAAGTTAATGAAAAAAACAATAAATAGGTCAACAATAAATATACTTTTATTATATCCCAATGAATAGAAAACTGTATTTCTGACGTTGCGTGACTTGATGTACGTCACTTCTGTAGAACAAATAAAACTACGTGAATTTCAAAACAGAAAAATCCTACCTAAAATTAGTAGTAAGTCATTTTTAGTGCCAGTCACCGATCCAAAGTGTATTGATTTGAGCGTTTATTTCGTATTCGATAAATCATGGACCCGGTGTGGCTAATATCAACTTTGATTGGTATTTTAGATAACGAATTTGCAAAGCATGGGTTCCTGTACCTGGTTTTGGGTCATATTTAAGGTGTGAAGGTTAGTGAAACTACCCGGCAGTTTAAACCTTAGTGGGTAGGTGGAGTGAGGTCCAAATCTATGACTTAATTGTTGGACGCTAAGTCTTTTAGCTATTAAGCCACTCTTCTGCTTGGTGCCTTAGTGTTTTATCCATGATTAAACTCTTGTAACGTAAAAAACTAACACTGCTGCTTACTGTGTAGAACTGGCAACAAATAGCTACACCATATGTAGATTGTAGGGATCACCAAATGCTAAGAATGGTCGTCATAAATTGAAAGACTATTTTCGAGAAAAATATATGACAGTATATTAATCAAAAATGACAGCTAATAAGAAAATTTGCAAAACGTATCACAGTTTACCACCCTCAAGCCTACTGAAATGATGATAAGTCAGCTTAAGTAACTGTTCATAATAATTCGTAACAATCGAAATTCCCCACAGAATTTCATTGTTCAATGTAAAGTTGTAGGGCGAATAACGTGTATCAGCAATAAAAACAAAACAATCACTAGCATATATGCTTTTTTGTAGGTAAAATTAAACAAATAACTTGGACAGAAGTTACCAATCCTATAAAAGAACAATAACTATTAACTTCATTTTACTTCTGAAGAATCTAAGCGATTTGACAAAACAACAACTATTATTAATACCATCCTGGATTTCAATATTTATATTAATACTGTTGGGCTATACTTAGTCCGTAATTATTTAATCTTCAAAGTTTAGAAAAATAACAAAATTGAATATATTCGCTACTGTCACTGTATTTATTACCATTTGAAAAGAATCAACAGCTTACCCTTTAGATACCTTATCATGTGTTTTTTCAGGGATGCATATTAAAACTCCATAGAGGTATGCTAACAAACATGTAGGCATTAAAATATTAGTTATAAATATAAGTTTTGTTAAATAACAGTATTGTTCATTCATCATCTTATACACTTGTAGTTGCGTTATCGATTATCTCTCTTTACATAATTTAGTAGGACATAAAACTCAAAGTTAATTCAACATTAGACTAAAACATTTAAAACAGTTTCAATAACCACCAAAGTATTTTACTATAAAAGAAAGATGTATTAGTCTAACATCAACACCCCCTACTATACTAAGCAACTCGCATTATCTCATTGTTTTGTGATCCAAAGGATAACATATCAAAATAATCGTATTTCCCAATCTATATTTTTTGAAAATAATATAGGAGTATGGTTTAGATAAACAGATAATTCTGTCCTAGATATCACTACTCAAGTGTAAAAATGTATTAGAAATAGTTGAATTCTAGGTACATAATGAAACTAATGTAAAACAAAATAGACTATTTACCAGCCAGTGTACTTGACAACCTTAAATCTCAACATTGTACAATTAGTGCAGTCAATAAATAACAATCAGCTGGCAAATCACTAAAAGATAAATGAAATAGAAAAGGTTTATTTAATCATATTGTCTTTTTTGGAAAAAAGAAACCTACTGTGTATCATAGTTAATTTTCACATTCATTATCCAATGTGCCGTAAAATAAATTACTCCAGTCAAAACTAACAATTGTATGAAATGTGTAGACAGATTAAATCCTAACGACCTACTATTTTCAATACCAGACGGTGAATGATTTACAGCAATCTCACTGGCACGTAATAGGAGCATAAGTAAATCGTTTGCACTGTCAAGAAATTGTCCTGGTATACCACTAGTGTCACTCATTTCAATATCAGTTGAAGTTACAGTCTTTTCAGGTATCGTTTCCGGTTGAAAATCATGTACAGGCTTGAATTGCCCCACATTACTTGGAAATCCTAAAGCGGTAGCCTTTTCAATTGTTTCTTCAACACTATCATATAAAAGAAATGGTTGTGTATATTTTTCTAATTTGGGCGAGTTTGAATAGGACGCTTGATAGTAGCCAGTTAAATCAGAACGACGATTATTCAGTGATTCAGTCGAATGTATAGATAAACTTTTAGACAGATTTATCATTTCCGGATTGGGAAGATCAACACCATCTTCAGCCTGAATTAAAGGGATAGAATATGATAACATAATTATTTAGAATAATATTAGTTGAGAAGTAATCTACGCGTACAGGAAAGTATAAAAAGGTCAACGAATTCTTTTATAACGCAAACATCTGAGAAAACTTACAACGGTTCACTTTAGCACTGATTAAATTTGAGTCTACCGCTTACTAGTGAACCAGTTTAAGACATCAAAGTAAATCTTAAAACTCAAATGAAATTGTGAAAAATGGTTGTAGAATCCGTTAAAGATGACATCAATTGGTGTTAGACCTACAAAACTTCAAGTCCGAATTCATATAATTGCTAAGTTCGTAATAAGCACAAACTCTATGGCACACTTAACCACAATGTATTATTTTAATAACCATGATGAAGAGAGGTTGTACTCTTGAATCACATTAAAAGTGGTCCATACAAACCTTACACAAAGAACTTCATTGTAAACAAAATGTAGCACGTTGCAGAATATACAAGTGTTATTACATCAATTACTTGAGTTTATTATAAAACGGACGACCAAAACCATAGCTACTATAATAAAGGAAGTTTGTCTGAAACAAGGTTTCAGTATTTGACAAACTGACTGATATCACTTTTAAAAATGAACCCTGTAGTTAAGTTCACAACTTTTATTCAACAAATCATTGCATTGCATGAACTTACTTGAACATATAGCTGACCATTTAAGCTACCAAGATAAATAAGACGATCGCGTGATGGACAATTAGGTTTTTCTTTACGTGATGAGGAAAGAGTATTTTTCCCATTGAACAGATTCAAGCCTTTTTCTTTTAATGATCCCAAATTTGAAATGGCAGTTGTTTTTTTTAATTCATTCACCTTTTCAATTAATAGTAAGGCAACTCTGTCATCTAAAATGATTATTAACATTTCACCATTATTGGAAGTTAAATTACAATATCTACATACAAAATATATGTAAAACATTAATCAAACACAATGTCTGGAAAAAACGAGTGGGAAATAAATCATGATATGCACAAACGATAGACACTAAGTGAATTCAGACATTATGAATGATTCCATAGTTCTATCTACAGCAAAATATTTGAACTCGGAATATAAGAGTGTTGAGGATTGAATTTTTTTGCTTTACGTTAATTTTCTACATGACATTAGCTCCGTTTGTATTCATGGATGATTCTTGGGGTAAAATAATTAATGCACCATAGTGTATGATAAAAAAAATCATGTATAGTTATTGTGGAAATAATTACATATGTCGGGAAATGAGTCTACTGAGATTAAGAAGTATTAAATACAACTCACTTTTTATACTCGATAAAAAAATACATTGTAGTCCTATTCCTAACAAAATTTCTTAATTAGCAAAGAGATTTTAAAAACTAGTTTATTCAATCGACTTAAAACCTTCGGATATTGCAGCGAACTAGCAACTTAAAGTCGATAAGTTATGGTTCGGTTCTCCACACCAGTAGCCCAAGTCAATCAAGAATGATCTAAGACCAAATCAATGGTGCACATGGGCTCCAGTATCCTGAAGGAACAAGTGGCGTATGAACCAATTGTTGGTCACCGGCTACCATGGAACTGCATCTCCTCACGATGCTTCACTGCCTTGTGGATTAGACCTTTAGGTCAAAGGCTCGGGGCGTGGCCCCCTAATAAAACCATCTGCTTATAGAAAATATTCGTTTCTCTCCGACTAACATTGAAATGACTGGTATTATTATTATTATTTACTACGTCATTTATTCACTATCTCCTATTTCTACTTTTTGTATCCGTTTCGACTCAGACAGCAGCTCGCCTATGGTGAAAATTCAGCTTTATCTAAACGTTCTGGTGTCACTGCCTGGTTGAAAATTGTATGTTACCACCGAATACGAGTACTGAAGCAGTTTTTCTGAAACCACGTGCACCATTTAAACTGGCTGCCTTCAACGTTTGCACACTTATGCACGTCAGACAACAGATAGGGCTGGCTATGTCTTTGGAAAGTCTTAATATTGACGTTTGTTGTCTATCCGAGACTCTGGTGAAGTACTACAAATTCGCCCTCCATCTGTCACTTCAAAAAGCTTGTTTTACGTGCGTTTATCCAGGGACCCTGTGGCGTCTTCCTCTGGTCTTGCTGGCGTTAGTGTTGCACTGAGCGTTAGAGCTGAGGCAGCACTAATCGATCGGATCCCCATTAACAGTCGGTTATGTGCTGTTAGATTAGAAAGTTCCATCAAAGTGAGAAGAAATCGGCGTGAGAAACGATGTCTTTTCGTCATCTCCGCCTATGCCCCGACAGATTGCAGCCCGGATGCAATCAAGGACGAGTTCTACCATCAGCTAACTGTTCTTCTCCATAAAGTGCGTTCGACAGATATTGTAGTACTAGCTGGAGACTTGAATGCTCAGGTCGGGCGTCTAGGCACAGAAGAGAGTCGTTTAGGTGGCCGATGGGGACTCGTTGGCCGCAGGGCAGATAACGAGGAACGTCTACTGCAACTATGCACAGACCACAACCTGTTTCTGGCTAGCACTAACTTTCGGCACAGTCATCGCCGATGTGCCACCTGGCGTCCCCCTTCTACATCTCAAGCCTGGATACAGATTGATCACATCGCGATCAGCTACCGCTGGCGTGGTTGTGTACAGGACTACCTCTCCTTTTGGAGTACCTATCTGGACTCTGATCATGCTCTGGTCTGCGCCAATCTTACCTTACTTTTCAGTGGACAACGAAGTGACCGCCACCAAAGGATTGATGTTAGCAAGCTGGCTGCAACTTCTGTTGCTAGTAAGTACCGAACCGAGCTAGCTTCTAGGCTAGCTACCACTCCACCGAAAAGTATAGATGAGCATTCATTGCAATTGCATGACGCCATGAAAATGGCGGGTACAGTCTGTTGTGGGTTTGCGAAACGTCCCGCTTACAAGCACTGGGTTTCTTCTGGTTCCTTACAACTCATTGAAGCCCTTCGGGCTACTCTGGTTGACCGTGAGTTTGACCACAGACGAAGGATGTTACGTAATGAAACTGGGCAAAGCTTGCGTAAGGACCGAGAAGCCTGGTGGTCGGAGCGTGCTAATGAGCTGGAAGTAGCAGCTGCATCGGTAATTACCGGAAGCTCTTCCAACACATCCGAGCCACTGGCAGCAAGAAGTCTGATGTGAGCAAAACAATTTGCGAGGATGTTAGAACACCGTCATACTTATCAAAGGCCAACAATCGTAATGTTTCTTGATATCATGGCTGCCTTCGATTCGTTGGACAGAACTGTTCTCTGGGATTGTCTATTGAAGAAGGGTGTGCCTGAGAAGCTTACTCAGACACTAAAAGCCCTATATACAAACACCTCAAACAGAATGAGGGCATACAACCACCTTTCTCCATTGTTCCATTCAAGCAGTGGGGTTAGACAGGGTTGCCCAATCTCACCATTCCTCTTCAACTTTGCCATCGATGACATTCTGGAAACAGCTCTGATGGATGTAAGTAATGGTGGTGTGGATCAGTTGCCTGGAGAAAGACTTCTCGACCTTGAGTAGGCGGATGATGTTGTCTTACTGTGCGAGAATGCCCATGCCATGCAATCCGCACTTAATCAGTTGGCAATCAATGTCCGTAGGTATGGTATGTGCTTCGCACCTTCGAAGTGCAAAGTCATTCTACAAGACTGGCAGGATTCTAATCCTGTACTCACTCTGGATCGTGAGCAGATTGAAGTAGTCGAGAAGTTCGTGTATCTAGGTAGCTGCATAAGTGCTGGTGGTGGTGTGAGTGATGAGATCAATGCACGTATAGTGAAAGCCAGAGTGGCTTATGCCAATCTGGGCCACCTTTGGCGCCTTCGTGATGTTAGTCTGGCTGTAAAAGGTCGGATCTACAACGCGTCGGTGACAGCAGTTTTGCTCTATGCTTGTGAAACCTGGCCTCTCCGAGTTGAGGATGTTAGACGGCTCTCTGTGTTTGATCATCGTTGTCTCCGAAGGATTGCTGACATCCAGTGGCAACACCATGTTAGTAATGCAAAGGTTCGGCATCGTGTGTTCGGTCACAGAGACGATAATGCAATTGGTGTCACCATCTTGAAACACCGACTTCGGTGGCTTGGACATGTTCTACGAATGTCGTCCCAGAGAATTCCACGTCGTGCATTATTTGCCGATTCTGCGACTGGTCGGAAAAAGCGAAGAGGTGGTCAGTATATGACATGGTGTCGTGGTATGAAAGAAGGCTGCAAAGGGATGGCTTGTGTTGGTCCTTCACGACTCCCTGGCTGGGGTCCGAGAGACGGTGTAACGCAGTGGCTAGAAACGTTATCAGATATGGCTCAGAATAGAAGCCAGTGGCGATCTTGCTGTAACCTTCTTTTACTTTCTTCGACATCAAATAGTTAAAATTAACTCTTCATTGTCTAACGCTGTCCCTGTTAGAAGTGGTGTAATACAAGGTACTGTCTTAGGCCCTTTGCTCTTTTTAGTGTTTATCAATGACATTTGTGAAAATTTTTGTGTAGGTAAGCCCCTTCTATATGCAGATGATCTTAAACTAGTTTATTCATTTCTTCACATGAGCTGGAAAATATGGAAACTTGGAGCTTAACAAGGTAGCACAGTGGTGCTTAAAATGGCAACTGGAACTTAATACGGCTAAATGTGGATGGATATGCTTCGGCGATACATCACTTAACCTAGACCTTACTATTAATGGAGAAATAATATCTAGGTTACATACAGTAGTAGACTTAGGACTTAGATACTCCCAAGACTTATCGCTTACAGAACAGATATCGAAACAGACCTCCAAGTCACAACGACTAGTAGGTTACATAATTCGAAACCTTCATAACAATGAATCACGAATTTTAATGTACAAAGTTTGTGTTCGACCTCTTCTAGAATATTGCACGTTTATTCTTAGCAGTGCGCGCATAAAGGATAAATTAAGGCTGGAGTCAGTACAGAGACGATTTACACTTCGTATTCTCGGAGCTGATTGTACCTTAACTTATAATTCTATATGTAAGAAACTAGAGCTAGACCCTTTATGGAAGAGGAGACTCAAACTAAATCTTATTTTTTTCTTCAAACTACTTAATAAACTATCCTTTACATCCAATCACGTAATTCAATACGCAGAAACCCCTCATTATGAAACCCGTAATTCCCTGGCACTTGTGAAACAAACTTATTCTAAATCATCTCTTTATATGAATTACTTTGCCTGTAAATTTTCTAGACTCTGGAATAACCTACCACAACATATCCGTACGATAAAATCACTCCCATTATTTGTACGTTGCATCGATGCATACTGCTCCTCTGAAAATGCATTGAATGCTCTAGCACCTGCAAGTGTATCTCACTCCACAAGTGTTATTATAGGAACTTTAAATGTTTAGGCATTTTTATTAGTACATTCTCTGGATAAAACCACCTACTTGCTGTCACTTTATGTTAATACCGTCCCCAGCTAGTTTAACTAATTTGAATATCATCAACAGTATATCACTGTGTCACATGACATACGCATTTTGATAGATCTGACTGACATATTTCGGTAATTACTGCTTTGTTGTTCCGTGCTCTCTGTTTTCGTTTTAATTTCTCTAGTTGTAGATATTTATCATTAAATCGATCTGGCACACGAAATGACCTTAATTACACCGTTTATAAATCAACAGGCTGTTCAGTTAAGAAATATTACATGTTCCCGGCTGATGCATTGGATCGCTGTAATACCTAAACAATTACTGAACTAGTAAACTTAAAACTCCTATCACCTGTTTCTTCTGTACATATAATGTTACTATTTATACCAAATTGATCACGCCTGTAAACTGGCGTGAATTCTGTAATTATTATTTTTTCAGAATATAAATCATTATTATTA